TCTCTCCCATCTTTTCTGGGGATCTGGGCAGAGAGGTAAAATCCCAGAATATGCTTCCAAGGACTGGCAAAGATGTGGAGCAACATCAACTCACATGCACTGCTAGTAAGAAAGTAAAGCAGAAGAATCCCTCTGAGTTATGACAATATCTAGCAAAGTGAAAGGTATATATGCCCTAAAGGCTAGCAATTCCACCTCTAAATATCTTTTGCACTGTGCACAAGGAGCTATATCTCAAATTATTTGTTATAGCAGTGTTTTTATGAGTAGAAAATAGGAAACAATCTAAATATCCACCAAGAGCTAAAAAGATACATAAATTGTGTTCTCTTTATAAAATGGAATACTGTAGAGATTAAAGATGGCCACGGACTGAGTGGAAGCTACACTGACACTCTCCTGGAATGAAACTGGAATTACAACTAAAATATAGAAAAGCCATCCTGAATAATCAACTGCAACTGAAGATGAGCTGGAAACCACCCTCATAACCAAGGAGGAAAAGTGGAGACCACATAGAGACTGGTAGGAAATGCAAAGGCACAAGAGGGCTGGCTGGGCTCCCACAGGCAGCAGATGAAGGTCCAGAGGGATATCTCAGCTGTGGGGGTTCCCAATGAGGACTCTGGGGTCTAAACCCCAACCTGAGCTCCCCAGCCCAGAGCACCAGAACTGAGAAAGGTGTCCACATAACACCTGGCTGTGAAAAGCAGCAGGGTTTCCCTTTGCAAGGGAGAGATGGATGGAAATACAGGCCCCCTCTCTTTTTTTTTTCTTTTTTTTTTAATTTTTTTTTTTTTAATATATCTTTATTGATTTCAGAGAGAGGGAAGAAGAGGGAGAGAGAGAGACAGGAACATCAATGATGAGATAGTCATTGATTGAGCCCGCAACCCGGGCATGTGCCTGACCGGGAATCGAACCCCGATCACCTGGATCCTAGGTTGATGCTCAACCGCTGAGCCATGCCCGGCCGGGCTACAGGCACCCTCTTAAAGGGCCAACACACAAATTTTGTGTGCAGCCACTCACATCGGGCCCCAGAAGAGGGAGGGCAGAGTGGACTAGAGCAGTGTGAGGAGAATCTAGGGCTCTGGAGGCAGAGCTTAGAAGACACCCCTCTGAATTCCTGTGCCGAGACATTCCCCTATACTGCAGAAGACATCATTGACAGGCAGACATTTATCTTCCAAGCAGTTTGTGCCTGAGGGAGAAGCAATTGCCTCACCCTGCTGCAAAACCTGCCTTACCCCATGGAATTTCTACAGCCTGAGGCTCACTGAGAGAATCAGATTAATCAGCCTGCAGGCAGAGGCAGACTTCAGAGTGCTTTGAGTCTTTGCCTGACCTGCTTTTGGACCCAGGCCTTGGAAAAGCAGACTTTGGTGTGCATCTTGGTCCTGTCCAAATGCACCAAGCCCCAACAGAGGGGACCTCGAGCCATGGGTTGTTGATAGCTCCAAACAGGGGACTCAAGGCCAGTCACAAACGGTGTCTGACACTGGCCTGCAGCAGAGACCTTTCAAAAAGACTGAGTCCTAGCAGATCTACCTAATACATACAAACAAACCAAATAGGCCGCCTAAATGGGGAGACAAAAAAACAAGTCCCAAATGAAAAAACAAGAGAAGTCTCCAGAAATAAGAGCTAAATGAAATGGAAATTAGCCATCTATCAGATATAGAGTTCAGAATACTGATTGTAAGGATGTTCAACAGCATGAAAAAAAGATAAGGAAACTGAAAAATAACCAGTCAGAAATCTTCATTTCTGATTTAGCAGAAATCTTTACTTCTGACATAGAAGTAAAGAATACATTGGAAGGAAGAAACAACAGATTAGAGGAAGCTGAGGATCAGATCAGCGAATTAGAAGAAAGGGTATAAAAAAATCACTCAATCAGAGATCCAAAAAGAAAAAACAATTAAAAAACAGGAGGACAGTCTAAGAGAGTTGTGGGACAACATGAAAAGTAACAATATTCGCATCATGGGAATGCCAGAGGAGGTTGAAAGCAAGCAAGGGTTAGAGAATCTGTTTGAAGAAATAGTGCCAGAAAACTTCCCTAACCTGGTGAAGGAAAAAGTCACACAAGTTCAGGAGGCACAGAGAGCCCCAAGCAAGAAGAATCCAATGAGGTTCATGCCCAGACACATCATAATGAAAATGCCAAAAATTCAAGACAAAGAGAGAATATTAAAGACAGCAAAAGAAAAGTAATCTGTTACCTACAAAGGAGCTCCCATAAGGCTGTCAGCTGACTTATCAGAAACTCTACAGGAGAGAAGGGAATGGCATGAAGTATTTCAAGTAATGCAAAACAAGGATCTGAAATCAAGACTACTCTATCCAGCAAAGCCATCATTCAAGATAGGTGGTGAAATAAAGAGCTTCTCAGACAAAAAGGCTAAAGGATTTTATCACCACCAAACCAGCATTGCAGGAAATGTTAAAGGGGCTGCTGTAATTAGAAGTAGAAATAGAGAAACATAGGCATAAAGAATTAAAATGGCAATAAATTAGGACCTATCAGTAATAACCTTAAGAACTTTAAGGGAGAGATCAACAGCAATACAATCATAGTTGTGCACTTTAACACCCCACTGACTTCATTGGATAGATCTTCCAGTCAAAAAGTCAACACAGAAACAGTGACTAAATGGCACACTAGATCAGATGGATTTCATTGATATTTACAGAACATTTCACCCCAAAGCTGCAGAATATACATTCCTCTCAAGCGCACATGGGTCATGCTCAAAGATAGACCACATGTTAGGACACAAAACAAGTCTCTAGAAGTTCAAGAAGACTGAAATTATATCAAGCATCTTCTCAGATCAAAAGGGCATGAAATTAGAAATCAACTGCAATAAAAACACTCAAAAATATTCCAACACATGGAGACTAAATAGCATGTTATTGAACAATGAAAGAGTTACCAAAATGATCAAGAAAGAAATCAAAAACTTCCTGGAAACAAAGGAAAATGAACGCACAACAACCCAAAATCTATGAGACACAACAAAAGCAGTCCTAAGAGGGAAGTTCATAGCACTGCAGGCCTACCTTAAAAATCAAGAAAAATTTTTAGTAAACTATCTAACCCTACAACTTAAAGAATTAGAAAACTCCCCTGTGAAGCCGGCAGGACCAGGGCTTTTGTTTGCTGGAGGTTTTTTTTATTACTGCTTCAATTTCTTCAGCTGTTACTAGCCTATTCAGATTTTCTGCTTCTTCTTGATTCAGTTTTACATGATCTCACTCATATGTGGAATCTAATAAACAAAATAGACTGCGGAACTAAATAGATCCAGAGACACAGAAGCATGGAACAGACTGATGAATCTCAGTGGGAATGCGGGGGTGGGGGAGTAGGTGGGGAGAGATTAATCAAAAAACTTATATTCATATATGCATAAACCATGGACATAGACAATAGTGTGGTGAAGGCCAGGGGGGCAGATTCGGGGTAGAGGAGATCAATGGGGGGAAAAAGAGGGATATTTGTAATACTTTCAGCAATAATGATAAATTTAAAAAATGGAATACTAATACAGAGGTCTAAATTACATATATCAATATGGACAAACCTCAAAAAATTTCAAGCAAAAAAAATAGGTAGTAGAAGGGAACACAAAATCGGATAAATCTACATATATAAAGCATGAAAATAGTAAAAAATACAGTATTATTTATGGATAATATACACATAAAAACGTGTGTTACAATAAATATCACATATCCTATCAAAATGAACACCCATGTACCCCACAGCCCAGTATAAAATTGTAATATTTTAGGTACAATTAAAGCCCTCTCTCAGAGTTCATGCCCTTGTCTCCATCTCCAGAGGTAACCACTACCCTGAATTTGCTACTTGAACTTGAACACTTTGCTAGGATTGTATACAGCCAGGGCAATTGCCTCTTGCAAAGCATGATGCACTGGCAGGAAGTCTGAGAGGAAATTCAAAACGACTTTGTTTCTTTGTGTCTTCTTGTTTCAAGGCAACCTACTGAATGAGCGAAAATATTTGGAAATCATATATCTGATAAGGGGCTAATCTAAAATATATAAAGAACTCATACAACTTAATAGCAAGAAGAAATCAAAGAAAACATACAAATGGCCAACAGACATATGAAAAGATACTCAACATAACAAATTATCAGGGAAATGAAAATTAAAACCACAATGAGATATCACCTCACACCAGTTATAATGGCTAGTATAAAAAATAACAAGCGTTTGCAAGGATGTGGGGAAAAGGGAACCCTCATGCACTGCTGGTGGGAATGTAAATTGGTGCAGCCACTATGGAAAACAGTATGGAGGGTCCTCAAAAAACTAATAATAGAACTACCACATGATCCAGCAATTCCACTTCTGGGTATTATCTGAAAATGAAAGTACTAATTTGAAAAATACATGCACACACCCCCCATGTTCA